CAGGTGCCCCCAGTAAACCCTACTTGTAATTACCTCAAGTGGTGATAGTTCATATGTTCAAATTACCACATTATGGTATGAAACTGATAAAATCATTAGGGAGAACAAGGAAAAAGGACCTGATTTAAGACTGAGGAATCAGAAAATGCTTCTTAGAAGTAGCCCTAAACTAAGATCTTGAGTATTAATATATGGAGCCACTAATAACTGCAGGAGGAGAAAGTTCCCCAATGGAGGAAACTATTTTTTCCAAAGACCTAGTAGAAACAAAGAAAGCACAGCAAGTTCTAAAAATAGAATACTTCTGAATGGCTGGAGTATACAGTGTAAAAGAAGGCAAAGGAAATGAGGGAGATGAGAGAAATAGACAGGAGTCATTTCATAAAAAGCCTTGAAGGTATGTTAGTAAGTCTGAACTTTACCCAAGAACAATGATGAGTTTTACACAGAGGAGTAATAGGACCAGATTTTCTAATATGTTACAAAGGACAGTCTAGCTTAAATACATTAAAAGGATTGATGGGGAAAAACCAGAGATTAAAAGAAAAAGAAACAGAAAAAACAAAAACAACCAGTTAAGATGCTACTGCAGGGGCGCCTGGGTGGCTCAGTCGGTTAAGAGGCTGCCTTCAGCTCAGGTCATGATCTCAGGGTCCTGGGATCGAGCCCCACGTCAGGCTCCCTGCTCTGTGGGGAGCCTGCTTCTCCCTCTCCCTGCCACTCTCCCTGCTTGTGCTTTCTCTCTCTGTCAAATAAATAAAATCTTTAACAACAACAACAAAAAGATGCAACTGCAGATGGTGGGAACAGCTGCTTTAAAGGTAGGGGGAAGAATTCCAGAAGGAAATGCCACTTCATAGAGAAAATAGGGAAGAAATAATGTTCAGAAATATAAGAATTTTCCAGAACTGGGGGGCCTGGGTGGCTCAGTCAGTTTTAAGTGTGTGACTTCAGCTCAGGCCATGATCCCAACATCCTGGGATGGAGCCCCGCATTGGGCTCCCTGCTAAGTGGGGAGTCCGCTTCTCTCTCTCCCTCTGCTCCTCCCCCCAGCTCCTGCTCTTTCTCTCTCTCAAAGAAATAAAATAAAATCTTTAAAAAAAAAAAAAAAAAAGAATTTTCCAGACTAATGGAAGATCTTAATCCTCAAATTCAGGAAACTCAACTTAAACGAAGTAGGATTAAGAAAAAAATAAAAAAACTAACTCCACACCTAAATATATCCCAAAGAAACAACAAAACATGAAAGACAAAGAGAATATTAAAAGTAACCAGAGTGGGAGCACCTAGGTGGCTCAGGTCATGGTCCCAGGGTCCTGGAATTGAACCCCATGTCAGGTTCCCTGCTCAGCAAGGAGCCTGCTTCTCCCTCTCCGCGGCCCCTGCTCCTGCTCTCTCTCTCTCAAATAAATAAATAAAATCTTAAAAAAAAAAAAAAAGTAACCAGGGGCGTGCCTGAATGGATCAATCAGCTGGGCGGCTGACTCTTGGTTTTGGCTCAGGTCATGATCTCGGGGTCCTGGGATCTAGCCCCATGTCGGGGTGTCTGCTTGAAGATTTTCTCTCTTCCTCTTCCCCACCCCCCACTCGTGTGCACGCTCTCTCTCAAATAAATTTAAAACAATAAATAAATAAAAGTAACCAGAGAAAAAAGACAAAGGAACAACAATTAAGCTGACAGATGACTTCTCAACAGCAAAAACAAAAGCCAGAAGTCAGCAGAATACTATCTTTAAAAGACCTGAGAAATTCCCAAACATATAAAGCAAAATGAAATCTATCCTCTGAACTATGTATACAGTAATAATGAGCACTTAAATACATGGAGAGTAATCTCTAAACACCAATGCCTACTATACTGAAAGATGAAGAAGAAACTGATAAGTATCATCATGGAGATTTGACATCTCTCTCTCAATAACTAATTGAATAATCAGGAAAAAAATCAGTAAGAAACACAGAGAATCTGAACACTACAATTAACAATGTTAAGTATGCATTAGTGCACATGTGGGCGTGTGTACATGCATACATTTCAGGCCGAAGTAACAAAACTATGAATGTATGGCAGTGGAAAGTACAGGACTGCTTGACGGGAGAGAAGAGAGTGTATAGTGGGAGATACTATTAAAAATACAAATTAGGGCAGTATTGGAAAGTGTACTAAACGCAGAGGTAGGGATCATGCAATAATTAAATACTGGGTAACAAGGAACCTACAACGATAAGAGAAGTGGAAAACAAAAAAAGTGGAAAATATAAACTAGAAGTAGAAAGATCAAATGATGAAAACCAATATATACAGCATAATTCCTCTTTATTAAAAAAAAAAAAGCGTAGGGACACTGGGGTGGCTCAGTGGGTTAAGGGTCTGCCTTCAGCACAGGTCATGATCCCAGGGTCCTGGGACTAAGTCCCACAACGGGCTCCTTGTTCACTGGGGAGCCTGCTTCTCCCTCTGCCTGCCTCTCTCTCCCTCTCTCTGCCAAATAAAAAGTTGTTAAAAAAAAAGTGTATACGTGTATGAATTTGTTCATAAAATAGTTTGGAATGATACACACCAAACTGTAGAGGTGACATCTGGGAATGTGCAGGCAAGGGGGGAAAACACTATCTTTATTTAATCATGTTGTATTTATTGGATGTTTTTCTTTTTTTTACAGTACACTTAATAATGCTTTTGTGATATTAAAAAACATGTAAAATAAAAGATTAAAAAGAAAAAAGACACAATAAAATGTTCTAGGAAAGAAGTTCGGAGTTTAATTCTGCTAGTTTTTTGTAGCTGTAATTAGCATTTCAAATAAGTACCAACAAGCCAGCTAATCTACTTCCATTATCTGGCAGGTATCAGGATACTCCACCAGTATTTGAGAAACTCCAAAAAAAGGTAACTTGGGGAAAAAAAATTTCCTGGAGTGCCTGGGTGGCTCAACTGGTTAAGCATCCAACACTTGATCTCAGCTCAGGTCTTGATCTCAGGGTCGTGAGTTCAAGCCCCATGCTGGGCTCCACACTGGGTGTGGAGCTTACTTAAAAAAAAAAAAAATCCTAATACTCATCAAAACTAAACAGTATGCTATAATCATCATCTGTGGCAATTTTACCATAATATTCTTTTTAATTATAAAAGTTAACACATGCTATAATTTATCCAATGCAAAGATTTTAAGAAAAAAATAATTTCATGTCCATATTCCACTTAATTTCCTTAGAGTAACCAGTGTTAATAGAATATATATACTGACATATCTTTTTTTTTTAAAGATTTTATTTATTTGACAGAGAGAGAGAGAAATCACAAGCAGGGGGAGCAGCAGAGGGAGAGGGAGAAGTGGGCTCCCTGCTGAGCAGGGAGCCTGACATGGGGCTTGATCCCAGGACCCCGGGATCACAACCTGAGCCAAAGGCAGACCCTTAACTGACTGAGCCACCCATGCGCCCCCTGAAATATCATTTTGAATGTTTATATAGGGCTCTTATTTTTTGTGTTTTCATAAAAAGAGAATCATATATACAATACTTTACATCTGGTAACTTATTCATCAGGGTAATTTTTAGATGTATTTACCTACAGCTGCAAAAACAGGTTTTCACTTATCCAAATGAAATAGTTTTATTTGGAGTTTTTTTTTAAGATTTTTAAAAAATATTTTTTTATTTGACAGAGAAAGATCACAAGTAGGCAGTTTTTTAAGTTACTTTGTTTGAGACCAGTAGAAGATACAAAATTCAATCTAGAACAGTTGGGCTAACAAAAATGATAAAATAGGACACAATAACAACCTGGTTACTAAAAGATAAGTTCTTCTTTTTTGTTTTTTTTGTTTGTATGCTTGTTTTGTTTTTTACAATACACCTTTCTAAGCTACAAATCTATTATCAAGTTTGTTTAAATTATGGTCAATAGTCAAACAAAATAAACCTGAGTAACCTAAGACACTACATACCAGGCCATGCCAAGTTGGTGCCATGCCAAGTTTTTGCCCCTAAGAAATCCCCTGGAGGATACAGGGGGTGTCTCACCAATTCCGTAGAGGGCTGAGTCAGATTCTGAACTACTGCCTCAAACAGTACTCACACAAATTAGATAAAGTGACCTATGAAGTCATTGTAACCACCCCCATTTCAGGAAATCTTGGCCCCAAAGAAATAACAACCAGTCTTTTGCCCAGGCCAACTTTTACTATATACAGGATGGACCTTCTACTCAAGCCCAAGAAGAATATCTCATCAAAGGTCTTAATGTATATGGTAAATGTAATAAATTCCAATTATCCAAAAACTTACTAAGTTACTCTTACCCATCACCTTTTCCCCTAGCAGAAAAAAAAAATTGTTTTCTCACTGCAGCACCATCCTTCAGATAGTTATACCTAATCTATGTTAAACGAATTACAATATGAGACATATATCAAGATCTTTTAAATACTATTACCATCACCCACTCTCATGCCGATCCACCACAATATGTGGTGTTTAAACATATACTGCATGTTTTCCTTTTTTTTCTTTTTTTTAAAGATTTATCTATTTTACTGAGAGAGAGGGAGAACAAACGGGAGAGGCAGAAGGAGACAGAAACCTAAGCAGACTCCGTGCTGAGGAAGGAGCCCAACGTGGGGTTCAATCTCATGACCCTGAGACCACGACCCGAGCCAAAACCAAGAGTTGGACACCTAACTTACTGTGCTGCCCAGGCACCCCTGCTTTGTTTTTAAAAACAGACATGTTCATTTGAAGGCAATGGAGAAAATACATTTAGATTAACAGCATCCTATCTTCTTCAAAAATCTCTACATTTCCCAGAAACTATTCTTTTTTCCTTTGGGGGAGGAATATTCACTGCCATGAATATGACTGGTTTATTGCTCTAAAACTCAGTTAGAATGAAAACAACGTGACATGACTTTAGCAGGCATACGTTTTCATTTAACATGACAGAGTGAGATAAACTTTTTCTTAAAATTTACTACTGTCAATATTCACTCAAAACTTACTTCTAATTCTTTAATTTTTTCTTCTGCTATTTTCTGTTTCTCTAACAGTTGATTGTGAATTACCTCCTTGGACTGAAGAATAAACCTACAAAACACAAAAAAGTTGAAGATTAAGCCACAAGACCACCATAATCATCAAAATCAACAGCTACATACTACAGATATTAAACTAAGAAAATTAAAACAATGATTTTCTAATTCGGGACCAATAAAATGCATTGCTATGTTAATGTGACAAACTCAGGAAACCACCACAGGTTTAAGCCTTGGCTGAGAAGGACTAAAAGTTTAAAAGAAAATTCTGCTTACTACTCTAAGAAGGGAATTAGGCTTTAAGATTCACAAATGAAAAAAATTAAAGGGATAAAAATCTATCACAGTTGCTAAAAGTTAATAAAAATCCACCATAATTTTTATTTTTTCAATTGTCTAGATCAACTTTTATCTAGATATTTTTTTAAAAATATTTATAAGTTAGAGCTCCCCCTCCAATCTTTTTAAACTTTTTTTTTGTAACAGCACTAACTCATGACCTTTTAAAGTCACAATCAAGTACTGTGTTAGGATCAATGCATTAGTGTTTATAGGAGTTCCTCAAACAAAAAGCACTGTATAAAGCCTAGTATCTTTTATTATTATTTCCAGAGTTTATAATACCTCTGAAAAGCTCAAAATGCACAAGTGGAAAATTTCAACTTTTTCCATTTTACAGTCAGATACATTATTTACAACTGATGAGAGTGGAAATATAAGGAAGCTTTAAAAATTAGTACTGAATCTGTTTTGTGAACATATGCTCCTAATACTTGCTGTAGGGAAAGAAGAATAAACTATTTTGTAGCCTCAAAAAAGGGAAATGAATTATTTCCCTTCTACTGGACTCAAGTGTCGAACTAGGCTATAACAGATTTCCATTAAAGATTGCACTTAATTAGGCAGATGGTTTCTTCTCTTTGCATATAACTTAGAGTTTAGCCAACAAAGAACTAAACTTCATTTCTTTTTGTTGTTGTTTTTATTGAAGTATAATTGACAAATAATATTCTATTAGTCTCATGTGTACAACACAGTGATTCAGTATCTGTGTATACTACAAACTGATTGCCACAGTAAGTCTAGTTATCATCTCTCACCATATAAAGTTAATATAATATTGTTGATTGTCCCCATGCTGTACATTATATCCCCAAGACTTAAGTTATTTTTATAACTGGAAATTTGTACCTTTTAATCCCCTTCACCAATTTTGCCCTCCAACAGCTCACCACCCCTAAACTCTGTATCTATGAGTGTGGGTTTTGTTTTCTTCTGTTTTTTTTTAGACTCCACTGGTAGTGAAATCACTTGGTATTTGTCTTTCTCTGTCTGACCTACTTCACTTAGCATAATATCGTCTAGGTACATCCATGTTGTCATAAATGCCAATATTTCATTCTTTTTATGGCTGAGTACTATTCCATTGTGTTTATGTGTGTGTTTTCTCATATGTCTGTTGGCCATCTGTATGTCTTTGGAAAAATGTCTATTCATATCCTCTGCCCATTTTTTCCCAAGTATATCTTTTTTTAATTTTATATTTTTATTAACATATAATGTATTGTGTTTCAGGTGTACAGATCTGTGATTCAACAGTCCTACACAATTCACAGCGCTCACCATAGCACATACCCTCCCCAACATCCAACACCCAGCCACCCCAGCCCTCCCACCCCCGTCCACTCCAGCAACCCTCAGTTTGTTTCCTGAGATTAAGATTCTCTGATGGTTTGTCTCCCTCTCTGGTTTTGTCTTGTTTCATTTTTCCCTCCCTTCCCCTATGATCCTCTGTCTTGTTTCTCAAATTCCTCACATCAGTGAGATCGTATGATAATTGTCTTTCTCTGATTGACTTATTTCGCTCATTTTTTAATTGGATTGGGTTTTGTTTGTTATTGAGTTGTAGGAGTTCTTTGTATATTTTAGATAGTAACCCCTAATCAGAAATATGATCTGCATGGATGCCTGGGTGGCTCAGTCAGTTAAGCGGCTACCTTTGGCCCAGGTCATGATCCCAGGGTCTAGGGATCGAGTCCCACATCAGGCTCCTTGCTCAGCAGCGAGCCTGCTTCTCCCTCTCTCTCCCTCTGCTTGTGCTCTGTCAAATAAATAAAATCTTAAAAAAAAAAAAAAAAGAAATATGATTTGCAAATATCTTCTCCCATTCAGTAGTTTACCTTTCCATTATGTTGATGGTTTCCTTTGCTGTACAGAAGCTTTTTAGTTTGATGTAGTCCCACTCATTTATTTTTGCTTTTATTACTCCTACTCTGGGAGTTAGATGCAAACAACAACAAAATCAAAACAAAAAACCTCACTAAGACTAACACAAGGAGCTTACTACCTACATTTTCTTCTAGGAGTTTTACTGGCTTTAAGTCTTACATTGAAGTTTTTAATGCACTTTAAGTTAATTTTTGTATATGACGTAAGATTGTGGTCCAGTTTTCCAACACCATTTACTGCCCTTTCCCCACTGTATATTCTTGCCTCCTTTGTCATAAATTAATTGACTATATATACATGGGTTTACTTTCTGGGCTCTCCATTCTGTTTCACTGACCCGTGTATCTCCCTTTAACAGAAGCCAAATAAGAAAACATATCAAGGTAGCAATATGTAGTTTTCTCTATAAACCACAAACAACAACCCAACACAAAACCAAACAACAACAACAAAAAACCCACCACTGTGTCTAGGGTGGGTTTTTACCAAGAGGATCTGTTATTATAGATATAAAACAAGTAAAAGCAGACCAAAAATGGCAACTCCAGCTTTGTCCAGACAACTGGGAGAAAACTGCTCTTCTTCTTTATAAATACACCCTGCCATATATAATACAACCTGGTAAAGTTCTCTTTCACTCCACCAATAATTAATCTTGTTAATGTCCTGATGTGGACAGTCCACATCATTTAACTGATGATCCTTGTCTTCAGCAGTAAGTTGATCCTTTGTTAAAATCTTACTCATATAGTCACTGCCAAGATAGTGCACATTCATGCAAAACAAGGATTTCTATATAACCTTTTGTGACCAAAATATTCTTATTAGTCCAAGAGATAGGTGCTGTTTCTGGTAAGACTATGATTTACTGAATATTTTTCTCAGAACTATTTAGGACAGGGGTGCCTGGGTGGCTCAGTCGGTTAAGCAGCTGCCTTCGGCTCAGGTCATGATCTCCAGGTCCTGGGATCGAGCCCCACGTCAGGCCCCTCACTAAGTGGGGAGTCTGCTTCTCCCTCTCCCCCTGCTTGTACTCTGTTTCTCTCTCTCAAATAAATAAATAAAATCTTAAAAAAAAAAAACTAGTACAGTATTTGAAGAGCAAAGTGTTTTAACTGCACTAAGTCTCAGTGATACCATGTAAAAAGTTATTATAAATCTAGGCCCAAAAGTCATCAAATTATGTCATTAGATGCACAATTTTACTACAAAGCCTTTTAGCCACAGAAATAGTTTTCAGAATAAAATATACATTTTTAAATAGCACTGATTGCTGGCCAGTGAGTAGTAGTCTCAAATAATAGGTCATCAGACATTACCTTTATTAGTGTCTGGGAAATTTTCAAAGCTAAGATTAGAGATCAAGTCATTACTTATGTGGCCTTTAAAAATAAAGTATTTGAACAGATACTAAATCCCTTGAGCAGAAAATAAAATTACTAGAAAGCAAGAATACTCAACAACAAAAACATGTTTTTCCATGGCCACACAGCCCTTAGGTAGCTATACTGGACTATGCCAACTTCAAAGGCCAGAGAGATGTCACTGAAGCCAGCCAATTTACTATAAGCCTAAGGACATCTCAGCCATAAAAGTTTTAAACAAAGATGAGTATTGAGTAAACACAAATGTCTACCTCAATGAGTAGTCACATTGTAAAATTCAAACAAAAAAACTTATGGAAAATTTGGTTTAGTCCTTTATTTTTAAAAAACGCCAACCATAAATCCAATGAAGATTGGGAAGGGCCCCAAGAAACATCTGAACTTCTAGAAAAAGTCTTTAGAAACATTTTATCTGTTGTTAAAAGGAGCTAAATTATCAGATGCTATTTTGAAAACACATAATAATGTAATTATGAGTCATATATCATAAATAAATATTAGGCACATAGTTTCTCAAAGTAGAAAATCTCACAGAGATCCTGCCTGATAGCTTATGGAAAGCCAAATGGTAGATAAAGGATTCTGCAGTTCAAAATGTGCCACAAAGGAAAAATAAACTGTGAAGAGGAAAGTTATTTTTATTTGACAAATGACACGCAAAGAATGTGCTTACAATATTCAGGATTATATATTCTAGACTAGTGTCACTGCTTTGTAAAAAGGTCACTACATTGGAAACCAATGCTATGTGGCCCTGCACTGTCAACTTTCAAGCACAAGTAGCCTGCTATTTAATTTCCTCATTTATTTAGAATTATGCCACCTGAAATACACATTTTTTTTTAAATACATAACTTTTATGATGGCTTTTGTGTTTGTTTCTTGAGAAACATCAGAGGATATGTTGTGAACTGTCCTGCAGGTTGGTATATGACTTTCTTATGACTCAGCATGAATCAAGAGTGTTGTTTACCTGCCCAAAATACAATCCAAGATGAGTGATAATGTTGTCTTTTGGGTATGCTCACTGGACATAAACTATTCAGACACAACAATATGCTTATGATAATGTATTTTGCATGGGTGGGAAACTTCTAGAGGTTATCTGAAAATATGGCATTTAGAGCATTCACAAATTAAGTGGCACAGAAAAGGATGAATAAGAATGAGTCTATCTTGGGGCACCTGGGTGGCTCATTTGGTTAAGCATCTGACTCTTGATCTCAAGCTCAGGTCTTGATCTCAGGGTCGTGAGTTGAAGCCCCATGTTGGGCTCCATGGAGCCCACTTAAAACAAAACAGAAAGAATGAGTCTATCTTGCTTCTTTGCCTCATCCCACTGGTGATGAAAACTAGCATATACATACAAAGATCTATGTGCAAAAAATTTTTTATGTCATAACTTTTTTTAGCAAGCAAGGAAGAACTAAAATCCCTT